AAAAAAAAAATAGCGGAGAACCCTACATGTGAATCTATTGAGTCATTTTCGAATCATTGAGGATTGGTGCTTAAGAATCTGAAAGAAGTGAGGAACTACTGCCCTAGTCGGTTACAAGAATATCCAGAAACTCGATTACAGGAAACCTAAGCCAAAACAACCTACCTTCTGAGGCCTAGCAACCTTTTAATCACGTAAAAGTGCCTTAATTGGTACCAGTATCGTCTGGGGAGGAAATTTTGCGACTTTTGTTTTGCCTGACCTCGCATTGTGTGAAACAATACTTGTTTAATCAGCCATTAATGGGATCCAAATCAGTGGGTATGTATAGGGAAGGGATTCAGTAATGTCAGAAGACTCTGTTCGTTTATACTTCTAATTTTCAGAAAGCGGTGAACATTTTGAAAGAAGTCGTTGGCAGCTCTTGTCCTGCCAGAAACGTGCGCATGTGGGGCTCTATAGGATCGTATGCGATTTGTTTCCGAGGGCAAGCAGCTGAGTATACAGGAGCCTTTGTAGACGTTCCTCCACCGACCGACATTGTGAAGGTGTACTTTCTTTTGAACCCAGGCGATTGAGTAGATTTCTATCGAATATCTTTTCCAGGAAATGACAGTCTATCATCAAAAGCAGATCAAAGCCATGAAAGATGCTGGAATGTTCCATTTGCTTTTTGAAACAATAAGCTCGCTGAAGGAAGCACAGGCCATATGTGATGCTTTAGAAAATCACAGTGATGTGAAGGCTGTTATATCGTTCACCTGCCGTAAAGTGGGCCAAATTTGACGGACTTCAGTTGACGATGTATCTCAGTGAACTCAAAATTTCTAGGACGGCTTGTCACTTCGACATGGAGAATCGTTTGAGTCAGCCGTGAAATACATACTGGGCAATCCGAAGGTGAGCTCGCATTCCGACAGAGTAGGGACGTTCCTAAACTGCGACAACGCTCCGTGCGTTTCTGTCCCGAAAGTGGTGCTGGCTCCCTTTTGATGTAAAAACGATTTTTTGAACTTTCTTCGGTTCTAATTTGGCGACCTTATCGGGTCAGCCTCCATTTCCAAAGACCACTGCGGAATGGACAGTGATTCTTTGGTCAGTTTCTCCCCACTGCGTCTTCCTGCCCAAAATAATCCACCTACCTTAACTAATCTACTATGAGGCATAGCCAAAGAGAAGGAAATTAATCAAC